GGTGCAAGCCCAAGGTAGGGAGACTTACAGAATAGGAGCCAAGAGCACTGGCTCTCAGGCAGAAATACTCATACCAGGGCTTCAAGCTGAGCTCCCACCCTTTACAAATCACTTCATCTCTCTGAGTCTCTGCTTCTCTATCTGTGAAGTAGAGTTGCAAAGTAAAGGTGGCTTTCTCACCAATTGTGTAAGAATTAAGTGTGAAAAAGGACATAATGTTGTACAGTGCTGGCATGGGGTCAGCACTCAGTAAATGACATATTGTTAGTATCACTAGGAATCAGGTTCTGTATCCACCCTCCAGACCAAACAGACTGAATCAATCAGGACCCTCCCATCACCCCTGGCTGCCTCTTGGCCTTGGTCAGCATGGTTGAGTCAGTGGATGCAGGGCACCAGAGGACAGGGAAGGGCTAGAAATGAATGGCCTAGAAAAGGGAAGATGTGGGGGCAGCCAGAGAGCTGCTCAGATAGCTGTAGAGCCATCATGCAGAAGAGGGGACACTTAACCTCATGTGCTGTGGTGGGTATGGCCAGCAGGAGGCAGAGCAAAAGAGCAAGGGCAAGCAAGCTGGTGGGGCAGGACAAGCCAAGGGCCGTTCAGCTTCAGTCCCCTCTGGGTAGCCCAAGTAAAACAGTAGCGTACCACAGAGAGAAGCTTGAGAGGTTGCAGTTCACCTGCAGTGTGTGGACTTCAACCTTCTTGTCCCTTCTTTAAAAGTAACAATCCTCAACCATTACTGGCTGCTTTTGAAAATGTGAACATAATGACTTTATTGCTATAAAAAACACATATGCTTATTATCTTAAAATTCAGGAAATATGGACAGGTACAAAGATGTGCACAATATCATCCAAAATCCCACTTGCTCATTACCAGTACATTTTTTGAATGGTAGTATGTTATCACTCTAACCCAGTTAGTACCCTGAATCAAGCAGATAGGGGAGGTGGTAGATTACCTTCTACAGTGCTATCATATACTAAGTTATTAGCTAGTAGAATCTTGTCAATTGTTCCAGGTGGGAAGTACTCAAAATTCTTATTTTTAATGTATTTTTACTATCCTCAAATAAACTACTGATGTCTGTAGCCCAGACATGGCACATCTGTCTGATGTAAGAGCCCCCATCCTCCAGTAATAGCATGTAAACTACAGACTTTGGAATGGACAGTGCCCTGAAGTTCCTGCCTCCAGGGTTTCCTGACCAGTCCCTGAGGACTACCTATTCCTACTCCCATCTTTCCTCATCCTCAGGCGCAGTAACAGTATCTCCAAGTCCCCTGGCCCCAGCTCCCCAAAGGAGCCTCTACTGCTCAGCCGTGACATTAGCCGGTCGGAATCCCTCCGCTGTTCCAGCAGCTACTCACAGCAGATCTTCCGGCCATGTGACCTGACCCATGGGGAGGTCCTCGGGAAGGGCTTCTTTGGGCAGGCCATCAAGGTGAGCACAGGCAGCAGCTGCTTTACTCTTCTGCCCCCCTCCCCCCTTACCTTTCAGGGAGTTTTCATCAATGGCCTCAGCCCACACTCCATAGGACAGCAAGCCTCCTTCCTCTTCCTGGCTGTGGATGATGGTGTGACGGGGCCCCCTACACCCCACTCAGGCCACCCAAGGGCAATACTGCTGTTACAGTCTTACCTTTCAGGGAGTTTTCATCAATGGCCTCAGCCCACACTCCATAGGACAGCAAGCCTCCTTCCTCTTCCTGGCTGTGGATGGTGGTGTGACGGGGCCCCCTACACCCCACTCAGGCCACCCAAGGGCAATACTGCTGTTACAGTGAGCTTGTGGACCTGGAGACCTGGGTTGGGATGAGCTGTGCCTCCAGTCAGTGGGTATTTGTTAGGCACCCATAGGTCTCAGTGCCGGGCAACGAGCACGTGGGGGAGTGGCTCCTGCCGCCCTGGTGAACAGTCTCAGGGACTAACCTCTCTCTCTCTCTCTCTCTCCTCCTCCTCCTCCTCCTCTGCTGAGAGCTGGGAGGGGGGGTCAGGTAAGCCATGTATCTAAGCTTGTGGGGCAGTGGGGCTGGAGAGCTCACCCCTGACCCACCCAGCTCCCTGGCGCATGTCTGTGGCACTGATCCTGCTGCCCCCAGACTTCTGTTCACCTGAGGAACTTATTCCTGTGCCAAATGACCAGAGCCCCTGCTTGGCTTGGCAGTGTTCCCTCCTGCCTCTTTCCCCACTTCCCTTTTCTGGAGTCTCGCCTCTCCTCTGTGCATGCCCAGCTCTCTGGGGAAGAGGATACGCTTCCTTCTGAGTTCCCTGATGCCCTGTGCTGTGTCTTCTACACATGAACTCTGTCTGTTTGATACAGCTGAGTATGTCCTCCAAGGGCCGGGATGGCCAGTGGCATAGATTTTCACAAACAGTTCTCAGAACTGCCTCTACTCTCTACTCCATTAACAGTCACCCTCCCTGTAGGTGACACACAAAGCCACAGGGAAAGTAATGGTCATGAAGGAGTTAATTCGATGTGATGAGGAGACACAGAAGACTTTTCTGACTGAGGTAAGAAGGTGAGATGAGGAGGTTGGGAGTTTGGTGTCACCAAGGGAGGACCTTACAAATAATGGTTTTAAGAGGAAACTCAGTTTGGAATCACTGTCTTAAGGACTGAGCAGAAAAGAGCTCTGTAGGAACATCCCTACCCCCTCTAAATTATGGCATAATTATGTGTTCAATGAACACTTACTAAAGACAGTACAAGCTGGTTATAAGGGATGTGGTCACAAATGAGATATGGTTCAGTGGAGCTCTCAGATTAGGGGGTGGTGGACATGAAAACAGACCAATTAGTACAACTCGATGTTATAATCACCACATGAACACCCTGCTAAGAGAGCCTGGAGTGGAGGTTCCCAGAGAACTAATACCTCTTGATCATTTACACAGTTCTCAATGCCTCTCCCAAATTGCTCTGTGAGCAACTTCATTTGGGTATGCCTGTCATCCAGATGTTACCCTTCAGGCCTTTGTTTCATTCCTGGGCTCTCCTGCTCCAGTTCCCCCAATGCAGTTTCTAGAAAGGCAGAATCCCAAGGGTGAAGCCTGCAAGGTCCCCATCCCTGTGGTGGTGGTCTTCCCTCACCCTGATCCTAGGGCCCTGTGATAGCACATGAGACAGGAGGTAGGAAATGCAGTCAAGCTGACTCTGTGGAGGGAAGGGGTGAGGATGACATAGTGGGAAGTTAACCATCCACCCTCCTTGGCATCCCTCACCACCAGGTGAAAGTGATGCGTAGCCTGGACCACCCCAATGTGCTCAAGTTCATTGGTGTGCTCTACAAGGACAAGAAGCTGAACCTACTGACAGAGTACATTGAGGGGGGTACACTGAAGGACTTTCTGCGCAGTGTGGTGAGCATACCACCCCAGAGTCACTAAGAACTTAGTGGGTTGTCAGTGGGACACCTATACCACCACTACCCTGGAACCTTGAAAGCCAGAGAGGCTCTGCTTTGCCCCCAAAGGACCATGCTGGGTGGGAGTGGGCACTGACAGGGAGGCTTTACCAGCAGACTGTGCTGACCCCCGGGGCCTAGACCACAAGTGGGACAGAGCCCGACAGCCTCTGATGGGAATTTCTCCATCCTGCAGGACCCGTGCCCTTGGCAGCAGAAGGTCAGGTTTGCTAAAGGCATCGCCTCTGGAATGGTGAGTCCCGCCAACAACTCTGTCAGCTGGGCAAGAGTAGGGAGAGATGCGAGGATTGTGGTCTGTGTTGGAAGGCAGAGACCCCATCGTGGGCAACTCATGTGGGCTGGGTTATTCAGCAGCTATTTATTGAGTTTCCCTCTGCGTCAGTGAAATTGCCCCCAGCCAACAGTTCTCAACCCTATTCTCAAAAAATTCCAAGTCTCTAAGGGCAAACAGGGCATGGACAAGGCAAACCAGAGANTGGGCAGGCCATCAAGGTGAGCACAGGCAGCAGCTGCTTTACTCTTCTGCCCCCCTCCCCCCCTTACCTTTCAGGGAGTTTTCATCAATGGCCTCAGCCCACACTCCATAGGACAGCAAGCCTCCTTCCTCTTCCTGGCTGTGGATGATGGTGTGACGGGGCCCCCTACACCCCACTCAGGCCACCCAAGGGCAATACTGCTGTTACAGTGAGCTTGTGGACCTGGAGACCTGGGTTGGGATGAGCTGTGCCTCCAGTCAGTGGGTATTTGTTAGGCACCCATAGGTCTCAGTGCCGGGCAACGAGCACGTGGGGGAGTGGCTCCTGCCGCCCTGGTGAACAGTCTCAGGGACTAACCTCTCTCTCTCTCTCTCTCTCCTCCTCCTCCTCCTCCTCTGCTGAGAGCTGGGAGGGGGGGTCAGGTAAGCCATGTATCTAAGCTTGTGGGGCAGTGGGGCTGGAGAGCTCACCCCTGACCCACCCAGCTCCCTGGCGCATGTCTGTGGCACTGATCCTGCTGCCCCCAGACTTCTGTTCACCTGAGGAACTTATTCCTGTGCCAAATGACCAGAGCCCCTGCTTGGCTTGGCAGTGTTCCCTCCTGCCTCTTTCCCCACTTCCCTTTTCTGGAGTCTCGCCTCTCCTCTGTGCATGCCCAGCTCTCTGGGGAAGAGGATACGCTTCCTTCTGAGTTCCCTGATGCCCTGTGCTGTGTCTTCTACACATGAACTCTGTCTGTTTGATACAGCTGAGTATGTCCTCCAAGGGCCGGGATGGCCAGTGGCATAGATTTTCACAAACAGTTCTCAGAACTGCCTCTACTCTCTACTCCATTAACAGTCACCCTCCCTGTAGGTGACACACAAAGCCACAGGGAAAGTAATGGTCATGAAGGAGTTAATTCGATGTGATGAGGAGACACAGAAGACTTTTCTGACTGAGGTAAGAAGGTGAGATGAGGAGGTTGGGAGTTTGGTGTCACCAAGGGAGGACCTTACAAATAATGGTTTTAAGAGGAAACTCAGTTTGGAATCACTGTCTTAAGGACTGAGCAGAAAAGAGCTCTGTAGGAACATCCCTACCCCCTCTAAATTATGGCATAATTATGTGTTCAATGAACACTTACTAAAGACAGTACAAGCTGGTTATAAGGGATGTGGTCACAAATGAGATATGGTTCAGTGGAGCTCTCAGATTAGGGGGTGGTGGACATGAAAACAGACCAATTAGTACAACTCGATGTTATAATCACCACATGAACACCCTGCTAAGAGAGCCTGGAGTGGAGGTTCCCAGAGAACTAATACCTCTTGATCATTTACACAGTTCTCAATGCCTCTCCCAAATTGCTCTGTGAGCAACTTCATTTGGGTATGCCTGTCGTCCAGATGTTACCCTTCAGGCCTTTGTTTCATTCCTGGGCTCTCCTGCTCCAGTTCCCCCAATGCAGTTTCTAGAAAGGCAGAATCCCAAGGGTGAAGCCTGCAAGGTCCCCATCCCTGTGGTGGTGGTCTTCCCTCACCCTGATCCTAGGGCCCTGTGATAGCACATGAGACAGGAGGTAGGAAATGCAGTCAAGCTGACTCTGTGGAGGGAAGGGGTGAGGATGACATAGTGGGAAGTTAACCATCCACCCTCCTTGGCATCCCTCACCACCAGGTGAAAGTGATGCGTAGCCTGGACCACCCCAATGTGCTCAAGTTCATTGGTGTGCTCTACAAGGACAAGAAGCTGAACCTACTGACAGAGTACATTGAGGGGGGTACACTGAAGGACTTTCTGCGCAGTGTGGTGAGCATACCACCCCAGAGTCACTAAGAACTTAGTGGGTTGTCAGTGGGACACCTATACCACCACTACCCTGGAACCTTGAAAGCCAGAGAGGCTCTGCTTTGCCCCCAAAGGACCATGCTGGGTGGGAGTGGGCACTGACAGGGAGGCTTTACCAGCAGACTGTGCTGACCCCCGGGGCCTAGACCACAAGTGGGACAGAGCCCGACAGCCTCTGATGGGAATTTCTCCATCCTGCAGGACCCGTGCCCTTGGCAGCAGAAGGTCAGGTTTGCTAAAGGCATCGCCTCTGGAATGGTGAGTCCCGCCAACAACTCTGTCAGCTGGGCAAGAGTAGGGAGAGATGCGAGGATTGTGGTCTGTGTTGGAAGGCAGAGACCCCATTGTGGGCAACTCATGTGGGCTGGGTTATTCAGCAGCTATTTATTGAGTTTCCCTCTGCGTCAGTGAAATTGCCCCCAGCCAACAGTTCTCAACCCTATTCTCAAAAAATTCCAAGTCTCTAAGGGCAAACAGGGCATGGACAAGGCAAACCAGAGAGGCACACCATAGCACAAGGTGGCCTGGCCTTGCTGTCACAAAGGTGTCCAGGTGCTGAGGACCCTTGGAGCAAGCAGAGCACCTCACTGCCTGAAATCAGAGAAGGGGAAATGAGTTCTAGTTGAGCCCTGAAGGATAAACCAGAATTGGATAAAGGTTCTTGTTGGCAGAGAGGCCCCAAGGTTGAAGTGATGGTAGCAGCAAAGACCTGGGAGGAGAAAGAGGGAAACAGTCTGTTTTACCTGGAAACAAATCCTTCCAATAATAGCAATAACAACAGCTGACAAGTACTGAGTACTTTCTATATGGCAGGCACTGAGCTGAGGGATAACATTCATAAGTGTATTTATTCCTCACGACAACCCTGCTTTCCAGATAAGCTGAGGCTAGGAAGGGACAGAACTGGTATCCTGGGCTAGTCAGTCTGACCCCCAAGCCTGAGATTTTTTACTTCTGTTCTTCATGTGGAGTCCATGAAGACAGTATTAGTCTGGAACAGTAAACTGGAGATAGATTAAATTCCCTGTGATTCAAGCTAAGCAGTCTGGACTGTATTTAGGAAGTCAAAAAGACAGATGTAAAAGATTTTTAAGCGAGAGAGTTTCATGACCAGAACTGTGCTTTTCTGAAGGTGAGTCTGGTATGGTCAGTAGGTTGGGGTGGAGTTGGGAGAGTCTCAGGGCAGAAAGGCCTGGGTAGGGGCTTACAAAACATTTTAGGTTTCTGAATTAAGGTAGTGGCTATGGGGGTGGGTGGCTGGGAGGCAGGGTGAAATCAGAATGGAGGGACTGTTTAGCAGTGAGGAGTCGGGGGAGGAGGAGTTGGGTGGCTTGAGGTGCCTTGAATGGTGGTTTCACTTACCAGACTTTTGGGGGTGGCAGTGATAGTTGAGAACAGGTTTGGGAAAAGCCAGGATTGGTGCCTGCTGCAACTGATATGGTAGCAGAACCTCCCAACATCTCCTGGGCAGGAAGCTGCCTCCTCGAGGCTGGAGCTTGGAGAGAGGCTGCTGGTCACCTAGTTATCTGCAGAGAAGGGGCAGCTGGAGCTATGGGACAGAAGAGGCTTCTCTGTGGTTGGTGGGAATCAGCATGTGAAGAGAAGATGGCATTGAGGAAACTGGAAAGAAAAACCAAGCACACAGGAGTCTCAGGAGCAGGTAGCATGGGAGAGACATAGACAGCCTTTGAGGAGGGGATCTGCAGGCAGGCAGACCACAAGCTACAGTGATTCGGGAAAAGCTCCCTGGTTGTATTGGCCTGGGTGTGTGAGTAGCTTTGGGAGCCTGGGAGCCTAGGAGCCTAGGAGATAGAAGCTGTATTGCAGGGGGCTGGGGAGAGAGGAGTAGCTCCTTCAACATTGCAGGGGAAGAGAAGGAAAAAGGGTGACGAGAGCTAGAGGTAGAGGCCTGGAGAGGGATAACAGTAAGCACAAACTTGTCTAGAAACATTTGGGTAGGAAGAGAGAGAGGAAGTGTAGACAGAGAATGAGAGAGGTGAATGTCAGGAATACAGAGCTAACTAGACCAGGAGGAGGTCACTTCTTCCCTATCGCAGGCAGGAAGGATCCAAGATGGCTGAATCCAGAGGTTGGGGGAGGGGGGAGAGGAGAAGGGCACAGTGCATCTTAGGGTGCTCATTTCAGATGACTTGGATCTAGGTAAAATGGGTAGAGGTGATGAGGGGCTACAGGGGCCAGGGCCCAGTGGGGTTGGGGGCTTCAGGAGAGAGCAGCAAGGGCTTAGACCAGCCACTGGGCTGGCAGTTGGTGAACAAAAGGTTGGGCAGGAGATGGCAGCAGGGAGGGAAAGGAAGCCCAGGCAGCCTTCAGCTTTCTGTTGGTGTTGGGACTGAGGGAGTGGCTATAGGAGGGCCTGGGCCTGGTTGTCCAAGTTGGCTTCTGAAGCTGGGCGGGGATAGCCTGGGAGAAGAGCAGGTTCTGTGGCACCAATTCTGGAGTCAGGGTCTGGTTGATTTTCTGGCCCTTTGGCCTCAGTTCGTGCTTCTGTTGCAGGCCTATTTGCACTCCATGTGCATCATCCACCGGGATCTGAACTCGCACAACTGCCTCATCAAGTTGGTAAGTCCAGTAGCTCTAAGCCTGGCATAGGCTTCCCTGGGGGCAGCCTTCCTGGCTTCCTTGTCCCAAGGAGGCTAACTGTCCCCTCTGGGCCTTAGGCCAGAGGTGTCGCCTGGGGATTCCTATCTTGTTCTTCCTGCTGCCTCCATTCCCTCCTCTGGTTTTTAAGAGCTCCCAGACACATGCAGACACAATTCTGTCTCCTCAGTAGCAGCCTTTGAAATCATTTGGTTAGAAGGAACTTCAGAAGTTCCTTAACTGTTGAAAGAAACAGACGGGACCCGAGCTGACGGTTCACCAGAGAAGTTCCGCTTTATTCAGGGACTGCGCCTACATTTATAGGGAGCCACGTTCCGGGACTGGGTAGGAGGTGGACGGGGCAGCAGCTGATTGGCCAGGACTGGGCGGGAGGTGAGTCTAGACCTGTGACTGGTGGGGTTTTGGTGCCGGCAGGCTGGCTTACTGCAGAAGAGAAGCTGGAAGGGCGCCATATTGCCAGGGAGTGCCCCCGTTCAGGTGCCCATGAAAGGGAAATCGGGTGCCTGTGGAATCCCTACATTCCTCCCTTTTTCCTCTTTTGCGGGGGTTGGGTCATCGAAATCATCGAGCTACTTCCTGCTGGAGAGGGGCGTAGTGGGGGAGAGGAATTGAGGGAGGATAAGAGACCCTCTATTAGGCCCCAAAGGAGAGTGGAGAATAAGGTGATCTCAAGGGGGGAGAAGTCCATGAACGTTCCCTGGAGCCACAGGTCGGTTATTTGTTGTTCCTAGTGCGTGTGGGAAGTGCCGTGGCCAATGCCTCTAGGAACAGGGACCATTGGTGGTGTAGATCCATCTTAACAACGCGTTAGCCGATCCGTTGAAGAGCAGGTAGGGTCTTCTGTGGCCAGTAGTTGGTAATTCCTGAGTAAAAGCTTGTTAAAAGTCTGGTTAGAGATTTTGCCAACTTGAGTTTGGATAAATTTTACAATACAAGACAAGAAAAGACAGGCCATGAATATAACAGTTAAAGGTCCTAGAATTGGCCATACCCAGGTAAGAAGTGGATTTTGAAAGATAGAGGAAAAAGAGTCGGGGTGGACGGCAGCTCGAAGGTCTGAGGCTAAATTAGTGAGCTTAACAACATTGGTTTCTACTACCCCAGATAAGGGAGTAGTTTGGTGGTCTTACCTTGCCCCATTATATAAGTTTCTCGTACTGTGAATCTCCAGACATATGAGGATTTAGAGGCACCTACTAGGGACAGTGAGAGAAACAGGATGATGTTAATGGGAGTGGTCATTGTTCCTGTACTGGAGAGAGACTTGGGAGTCAGGATAAGCGGAGCTTTAGGGGGTCAGAGGGGTGAGGAGTGCAGGCAAATGTTTTAGTTTCTTGAAAGGGTGTGTCCTGAACTTGCAGGTCACGC